TCCTGACACCAGGGCTCCTCAGAGGAACTGACTACTTTGCTTTGCCCCATTGTTCCTCTCTGTCTCTGTAGCATCTTGAAGGACATTCTGCAGGTGCAGCAGAGCTTGGGCTACTGTCCACAGTTTGATGCTCTCTTTGATGAGTTGACGGCGCAAGAACACCTGGAGCTGTACACCCGACTGCGCGGCATTCCATGGAAGGATGAGGAGCGGGTGAGCAAGCGTGTTGTGGAGGGGCTGCTTCCTCTGGGGGCAGTAGCGGAGAGGAAGAGGGTCGGGATGACTCTGGCCTTTTCTTTCCCATGGACCTCTACCGGGTGGCTGGTTTGCTGGTCAGCCTGGACTCCTAATGATTGGGGCAATGGCTAAGCTGTGCATCACAGCTTTGAGCAGCAGTAGATTCGGGGCAAACAAGGAGCTGCTGCCGCTTCGCACAATGCATAATTAACTTGTGGAACTCATAGCCACAAGATGTGGTGGCAGCCACCGTTGCAGATGGCTTTAAAAGAGTGTTGGAGGGATTTACAGAAGGGCTGAGAGGTTTGCTAACGGCTGTCGTCATGGCCCTGACCATCAGTTGTTGGTGGTGGAGTGTGGGGTGGTGGGAACCAGCCTTCACACCTTGCCTAGGAAACTTATGGCTGGCCAAAAAGGATAGGCCACGTGGGTGCTTCCACCAAATCCTGCAGGATGGTTCTGATATTCTTAGGGTAGCTAAGAATGAAGCCTCCATGTCCAGAGACAGTGCATCTCTTTTAGCATCAGTTGCTGAGGAGGAGGAGCCTGGAAGGGCCATTGCCTCGTTGCCCTGCTGAGGGAGCTGCCTGGAGGCACCTGGCTGCTGGTTTAGGTGAACCTTTGGTCTGATCCAGCAGGGCTCTTCTCACGGGGGTACCAGCTGTGTGTGAGCAATTTCCTCTTTGCCTTCTCAGGTTGTGAAGTGGGCACTAAAGAAGCTGGAGTTGGCCAAATACGCTAACAAACCTGCCAGCACCTACAGTGGCGGCAACAAGAGGAAGCTATCTACAGCCATAGCCCTGATTGGCTACCCGGCCTTCATTTTCCTGGTGAGGAGAGGAGGTGGGGTAGTCCTCTAGCAGCACCTAGCAACAGAACCCTGGCAAAGAACCCAAACCAAGTCTCCAACCAAAAAAGATGACCATGTAAATTGCAGGAAATGTGTGTTAAGTTAAATTGGGTTTCCTGGGTCCCTCCTTCCCTAGATGATTTATATCCAGAATCCAAGGCAACTGACAGTAGGCTTGCATGGAGCCAACCCGAATGACGGTAAGGCTTAAGGATGCCCCTGTGGGCAGCTAATTCTGCCATTTGCCCCCTTTTCCTGGCAGGATGAACCAACCACTGGCATGGATCCAAAGGCCAGGCGTTTCCTGTGGAACCTTATCCTGGACATCATCAAGACGGGCCGCTCAGTGGTTTTGACATCCCACAGGTTGGCGGGGCCTTGGGGTGCCTTTTTCTGCTTCATGAGGCCCAGGGCAAGGGGGCGGGGCCTGAACTGAGGCAATGGATGGTTCGTTGGAGTAAGGGCTTGTGATTGCCTGCTCACTCTGTATTGGGAGAAGATCATGTGGGCGACTCAGACCCAGCGTGATCTACCCATCCAGGCTGGCTTTGTGCTGAGGCCCTCTCCTTTGTCTCCCTCAGCATGGAAGAGTGTGAGGCCCTCTGCACGCGCTTGGCAATCATGGTGAACGGGCGCCTGAAGTGCCTGGGCAGCATCCAGCACCTGAAGAACAGGTGAGCGGGAAAAGGTCAAGGGGCGCCAGAGGGCGCATCAAAGGGACACTCTTCCAACCCCTGCTCATCCACGTGAGAACTGGGCTGGTTGCTGTGAGGCTGGCTGTGGATGCAGATCCCACGGGACAGGACTGGCTCTGCAGTTGAAGGCATCCTAGCTAAAGCGACTCCCCTTCCTCTGCCATCAGGCTTACCTGCCTGTGGAGGCAGTGTCTTCAACTGCATGGGGCAGCTGCGACCAGTCACTCTCATGACTTCCCACACTGCCCCAGAGGTAGAGCAGAAGGGCATTATGGGAAATTATGGGAAATTGAAGGAGGGCTGGATGCAGCCACCTGGTCCTGTTCATAGGAGGCCATAGCAGCTTCCCAAGGCTGCTGGATCTGGCCTAGCCAGGAGGCTAGAAAAGGGTCTGGATCAGGCCCTGCCTTGCCCCAGGGCCTGACAGGAAGCGGTGCCGTAAGTTTCAGCTGCACTAAACATCACTTTGAAAATTGCTTGTGAAGGTGTGTCATGGTTGCAAGCCAAGGTGTGAGAAACCAGGGCTAACTTTTGCTGGTGAGGGGCATGTGCAGAGAGAGAAATGAGAGTGGCATGGTTGGTTTCCTGATCCCTCTGTTCCTCTAGGTTTGGAGACGGCTACATGATCACAGTGCGGACCAAATCCAGCCTGAATGTCAAGGAGGTGGTGCGGTTCTTCAACAGGAACTTCCCAGAGGCTGTCCTCAAGGTTAGGCTCCTTCCAGCGTGAGAATGCCCAGAGGCCCCGCTTCCTGCAAGCTTGGCCCCTGGCTGCCTCTGTGGGGGAGGGAGCAGATGACAGAGCTTTCTTTAAAGGGGGATTTCATATCTCTGTTCCTGTATAGGGGAAATTAGGAGGTCCACTTATTGGAGGTCAATAATAACAAGATAATGAATTCAATAACATTTGTTGATTGAGCGTGCAAAGAAGCAACCTCACTTGTGGAAGTTGCTACCTTGCAACCAATAACTGCTACTGAATTCAGTAAGGGAAGTTCCTAGTTTCCCCTACACCTTTCCCAACCTTTTTTTGGCAATGCATCTCTAAAATCCTGATTCCCTCCCCGCCCCTTGTGACATATGATTGTTACTATTCAAAAAGTGAACTCCTGTTCACTTGGAGGAAGCCTAAAAGGCCATTAACTGTTAATAACTCATTCTCGAATTGTCCCCCTTAAAAATCAAATTGCCCCCTATGGGGGGGTGTGCCCCACATTGGGAACCACGACCCTACACCTAAACTGCCAATAAGAGAATATAAAAAGAGCCTGAAGAAGTTTGTGTGGCATTGAAAACAGAACTATAACGAAATGACGTTCAGAGGGAGATTCAGCAGAGCCCCCACCTGACTGCCCTGCACACAATCTTGGTGCCAGATGAAAAATGTGAGGAGTTTGGCATCATGCGAACTCTTCTGAGCTACTCACTCATGCGGACATAGCACTGGGTATTAAAGTCCACCAGGAGGCAGATTTAGAAGGGGGTGGGGTGCAAAACAGGGAGAGGCCGTTCTGGGGCTGTGCTGATGTTTTGTCTCTGTTTTCCAAGGAGAGGCACCACACAAAGGTGCAGTACCAGCTGAAGTCAGAGCAGATCTCGCTGGCTCAGGTCTTCAGCAAGATGGAGCAAGTGGTGGACATCTTGGGCATTGAGGATTATTCCGTCAGTCAGACCACACTGGACAACGTGAGTGCAGGAGCCTCTCAGGACCATTCCCTGACCTCTTGAGGGTGGAGCCATCAAGAGCACCCGGCTATGGGGAGCCAAGGGGCTGGTATTAAGTGGTTATGCTATCTCTGACCATGGAGGTTCTGTTTAGATCTCATGCTTAATAGCCATCAATAAGGCCTCCTCCATTGACTTCTTCTATGAAGCCACCTAAGCCAGTTGGCTATTTCCACACCTCTCAGCGGAAGAGCAGCGGCTTTGCATGCAGAAGGTCCAGTTTCAGTCCATGGTTTCTGAGCTGGCGGGGCTGGGGAAGACCAGTGACCCAGAGAGTCACGGCCAGGTGGACAGACAGCTGTCCCAATAGAAACCAACTCCTTGTGATACATCGTACTTCTTGGCAGCAAATTTCATATATTCATTATGCACTGCGTGACAGTCTCAACCCAGGGGTGTTATGGGACATAATATGAAAAACTGGTTTCTTGAAAAGTAACATCAGCACATTAGAGGCAGGGGCGAGGAGAGGTGATTTTCAGAAGGTGCCTAATGTGGGGTTCCAAGCCATACTGAGACCATTTTCCAGATCAGGGTCCCAAAAGGCTGTTTTCTTTAAATGAAAGTGGCCAATTAAAAGATGTATTTGAGGGAGGGGGGCATGTTCATTGTGACATGTAGTCAGTCTGCTGTTGTGTCTCTCCTGAATATCCTTGCCAATCCACTTCATGAAGAGCGGGGGCTTGGGTTCTCTTGTTAGGACAGAGGGATAAAAACTTCACTCTGTCCCATTCATCATGTTGCAGGCTTCTGCAATTGCACTCTTTCTTTTTCCCCTAAGCTAAACAGGCCCAGACTCATTATCTTTTCCTCTTAGGGCAGGTGATCCAGCTGCACACCAAAGATGTATGTATAGGGCCATTGCAATGCAGGCATTTGTATTTTCAGTCCCTTTGCTAATAATAGGCTAGCATGGAATTTGCCTTTCTCAGAGAAGTGAGTGCACTGAGTTGACCTTCTCAATGAGTTCTCTGCCATGACCAGTTTGCACTTCTTACATCCCTGGAATTTCTGGTTAAAGGGCTTTTGGGGAACAGGAGTGGAGGTGACCTCTATCCAAAATTCCGGAGATAAGTTGGTGGGGGTCAGGCAATTGACTCCTTGGCCTCTTTGTTGTAAAAGACAAAACAAAACAAAAAAACATCAAGGCAGTTTACAAAGAAAAAGAGCAAAACAAAACAAAACAGTAAAAACAGTTATCTAAAACATTCAAATAATAATTAATATCACTGATAATGTAAACATTCGACATGTCTGGGGAGCAAACAAAATGTTTTTAGCTGGTGCTGAAAGGAGTACCATGAAGGTACCTGCCTGATATCAATAAGCACAGAGTTCCTAAGTGCGGATGCTGCCTCACTAAAAGCCCCATTTCTTCCAAGTGTGGAACAAGAATTATGTGTCACTTGTAACTAGCACAGATTGAAGCGATTGAGTGGGCATATACAGGGTAAGGCAGTCTCATTTATATGGGGGGGGGGGGATTAAAAAATTGTCCAGTAGCACCTTAGAGACCAACTAAGTTTGTTCTGGGTATAAATTTTCGTGTGCATGCACACTTCTTCTTATACCCAGAACAAACTTAGTTGGTTTCTAAGGTGCTACTGGACAATTTTTAAAAAAATTCGACTGCATCAGACCAACACGGCTACCTACATGAATCATATATATGGAGTAAGACTATCACTTTGCTCTTCTCCTCCTCCCCATCCCCAGGTGTTTGTGAACTTCGCTAAGAAGCAGAGTGACAACCTAGAGCAGCAGGAGACCAGCCCGGCCTGTTCAATGGAATCGCCTCTCCAGCGCTTGCTGAACCTTCTGCGGCCCCGTGCAGCCCCAACTGAGCTGCGGGCCCTAGTGGTGGAGGAGCCCGAGGACTTGGAAACAGATGACGAGGGCCTGATCAGCTTTGAAGAGGAGCGGGTAAGAGGACTGCTCTCATGGCAGCCATGATACTATTTTCTTTTTCATTTATTCTTATTTGAAGTTTACAGTTGCAAGAAGAAAGGAATTGCACTTTGAGTTACATATTAGAAAGAGGAAAACGATAAATTAAGCATTCCCCCCGCCTCCCATATAGGTACTGATGAGAGAGTCCCTAATTTGCTGGTGTCTACAGACTGAGTGAGAGGAACATGGGTGGTGCTGTGGGTTAAACCACAGAGCCTAGGACTTGCCGATCAGAAGGTCGGCAGTTAAAATCCCCATGACGGGGTGAGCTCCACTTGCTCGGTCCCTGCTCCTGCCCATCTAGCAGTTCGAAAGCACACCAAAGTGCAAGTAGATAAATAGGTACCACTCCGGCGGGAAGGTAAACGGCGTTTCCGTGTGCTGCTCTGGTTTGCCAGAAGCGGCTTAGTCATGCTGGCCACATGACCCGGAAGCTGTACGCCGGCTCCCTCGGCCAGTAAAGCGAGATGAGCGCCCCAACTCCAGAGGCAGTCACGACTGGACCTAATGGTCAGGGGTCCCTTTACCTTTTTTACAGACTGAGTGAGAGGTGTGAGCTTGCTTTGGCTGGGTAATCTCATTTTTATTAGGTCTAATTTGATATAAAGTCTCGTCTCCTCATCAACACAAACAAGCCTTTCCCTTTTCTGATCTTTCATATTGACAGCATGCTATGTTACACTCTATTCAATGCTTTTTTCTGGTGCTACGCAATGGTATGCAGAGCCGGCTCCCCCACCCCCAAATCCTACAATAATGTGGATGGAGGGTGGGGAGAGCCAGCATGCAACTGTGGCTAAAAGGGGGGTTGCAAAAAGCAGGAGCCTGAGGTGGCAGCAGCAAGAAAAAGGTGGTCCTTGTTTGGGCTTGTAGTAGCTGCTCTCAGTCAACAGGTTGCACCGTTTTCCTTCAGCTGCCCTGCAATGCTCACTGTCCCCATGGATGTGCTGCTGTGCTGCTGCAAGCAGCCGGGTGAGCATGAGCATCACTTCCCTTTCAGTTGTGCTCACTCTTTCCATGTTGGCAGGGGAGGAGAGAGGAGGGAAGAAAAGAGATGAAGAAGAAAGGAAGGAGGCAGCAGCCTCTGCTGCTAGCACCGCCGTCCTCCTTGAATCTTCCACCACACTTGGCATACTCTCCTGCCACACCCTCTGAGCATAGCTGTCAACGTTTCCCTTTTTTAAAGGGAAATTCCCTTATCCCGAAAAGGATTCCTCGCAAGAAAAGGGAAAAGTTGACAGCTATGCCTCTGAGAGCCACTGAATTAAAGGAAGGCATTAATGCAGCCATCTCTTATGGAATGTGGCAGCTGCAGTTGGTCCTGTGATTCTTACCTGGCCAGGCAGTTGGACTGTAGCATCTGGTGGATAAATGACCACCTGTCAGCCGTAGATGCTCCTTGTGTTTTCTTTCCCCCCTCCCTCTAGCCCAGGGTTTTGCACCAGTTCTTGCGGAAAGTGCCATGTCCCAAATCATACCGTACTATTTTTGTATATCTTCCTTGTCTCCCCACAGGCTCAGCTCTCCTTCAACACCGACACGCTCTGCTGAGGAGTGGAGAAGATGCAACCCCCTCCCTCGGCTTTTGGAACCACCATGGACTCCGCCTCCCCCCACCCCCTCCTTGACATCTACCTTCCTTGGCCCTCCCCCACAACCTCCATCGAACCTCTGTCTAGCGGTAGTCGACAACTGCAAGAGGCAGGTGGTGAGGGGACCCACCTCACAAGCATCTGATCTGGGCAACGTGCTCTGGGCGGTTCCGTGTTGGCGGCTGGCAAGACCTGCAAAAAAGGAACTGGCCCAGTTGTTGGGGGTGGGAAGACACACTGCCTGAGTTGTGTCTGCAAGGAGAGCAGGAGGGCTTGTGTAAGGGAGCGTTTTTCCAGAAGCAGGAAAAGAGATGGAGACCCCCTGAGCCCAGAAGTTGTCAATTGGGACAGAACTCTGGTGTGTTTTTTTGGCGGGGGGGTGTCGTTAATGGAGGGGTGTTTCCTGACTCTGAAGCAGCCAGCTAATTAAACAACTTGCCTCTGGGATCTCTGGAGGATGTTTTTCGAAGAGGGCTAGCTGTTGAGGGGAGAAGCTTCATCAGAATGGCACTCCAAATATGAGGGCTGTTCGGGTGGACTGTGAGGGCTGCTTTCTCGCAGGGCTTATTTGTAGGGAAGACCCTCCTTCCCCCTCTTTCTTACTTTGTCACTTAACGTGGGACAAAAAAAGAGATTGGTGGCACCACTTGCTTCTTACAGAGCTGGCAAATGCTGTTGAATCAAGGGCGTGTGTGCACGGGATCACACACTCCCTCTGTCTCTGCTCACTCTAACTTAGGCATGGATTCTTCTGGGGTTTTTTTACAAAATGAATGATCCTGCCATGCTGCTCTCTACAACACCCACCCGCCCGAAGCACCCAACTAATGCTGCTGCTACTCCTGGCTGAAAACCACCTAAAGCTTTCGAAGGCAGAAACCTCCAGTGTGGAGCTTTGCATAGTTGAGTGTTGGGGGTGCGGAGAGAGGGCTTCTTCTCAGCTGAACTTGGGCCCTGGGTCCTTTGCTGGAAATGCCCCTCTGCCTGCAGTTTTGTCTTGGGGTTTGTAGGGAGTCCTCTAGTGAACCTACTCTTGAGCTGAACCTGAGCTACACACTCATTGTGGCAATAGAGCACAGAATGCAGGAAGTGTTGGACCAGCAAGTTTAGGAAGAGTTGCTGCTGGCTGTCCTCCCAGGTCTGGCCTCTCTCACAGTCACGACTTGATCAGTTGGAGTTTGCCTTTGAAGGGTTGCAGTCCAGCCAGCTGAGTGCTGCATATTCTCTGAGTAACCAATCACACACACACACACACACACACACACCCCAGCTCTCTGGTAGTGTGGGCCTTTTTATCTTGGCCAGCTTCTTGTAGTCAATCATTTCTGGCCTGATGCCCCTGGAAAGTTCACAGGCAAGGGTACATTTGAAATAGACTGCCCCAACCATGGAGGCTTGGTTGAGGTGCCATGTCTCATAGCTATTGTCTCCTGTCTCCTCTGTGAATTCTTCATGCCCAGTGAACCATCACCACATCCTGCCTGCAGAGGGAGTGCGAGGTTCCCTTTAATTAAAATTTTGGCTTGGAATAGCGGTTGACCATACCAAAGAGAGTTGAAATAGCAAATTATGCAGGAACTATTTTCCACCTCATCCCTTGCCATGTTTCAGTGGACTTTGAAGACTGAAAATGGGCTTCAAAGCCCTCTTGAACATGGCAAGGAATAAGACCTGCTGCATCCCCAAAGGGGAAGAGTTCCACTGCTCTGGGGCCAACACTGAAAAGTCTCTTTATTACAGCTGGCAGTTTACCTGGTAAGTCTTTTTAACATGTAGATGCCTTAGCAAAAAAAGACAGGTAGACGACGCCTTAGCAAAATCTCTAGATTGATATATATATAAATAGGTTCAGGTAACATCAGGGGATGAGAAAGCTCCATCTGTTCCTGAAACCCTGAAGGGCTTCTGGTCAGAGTAATTACTAGGCTAGAGGGATAACATGGCATAAGACACCTTCCTGTAAAACTCTTTTTATTAATAGTTTAGGCGAGCACTGGAATAGAGCACACGGGGCTATACTGACTTTACTATAAAGGCACTTCATTTCCTCCCCCAAATGCTGCCTGCTGAGTCTTTACTCTCTTACACACACACACACACACACACAATGTCTTTCTGGTTGGAGTCTGACAGCTTGCTGGTTCCTTACTCATTACTCACATGCATACACACGTGCATCTGTCTCATTTTACTGTCCTTTCATTTTTGTCTGGTAGACAATACTGGAGAAGATGGATAGACAGTTGTATCTGGTTTAAGGCAGCTTCTTATCCTGCACCCCCCACCCCCAAGCAGCTGAGCAGAATTTGCCAAATTGAGCCACTTGACACACGGGATGTGTTGATTTACAAACTGCATTTTGAAAAATCTGGAGGCTTTGATTTTTATAATTTATTTTTAGTGTATGTTGAGCAAGTGCAAGGTTTTTATTTATTTGTGTTAGGGTTTTGTGGAAGTTGTGTGTGTGTGTGTGTGTGTGTGTGTGTGTGTGTGTACACAATATTGGCTAGATTAAGGAGGGAAGGGAGATCCAAAGAAAGGGGCCAACTGCATGCCATGAGCGTTGGGGAGTGGGGCTTTTATTGCAGGTTCCCAAAACCTGAGTAGTTTCAGCTGCTACAGCTCAGGCAGCTTTTGGTTAACAGCCTGATCCCTGGAAACTTCTGTTTTTGAGCTCTGCCAAGAACGCACCTTGGAAGTCTGGAGCAAAACGTGAGACTTTCACCCACATCCATGAGGAGCAGGCGAACTGAGAGACTCCTCCGGATCCAGCCCTGGGTGGGTCTGCGCTCCTGTGATTCTTGCTCTCCGGTGCTCTGCCTTAACACTCTGGGCTATCTTCTCTTTCAAGTCTCCCCCAGCCCCTTGACATGTGCCACCTTTTCATGTACTGTGCCTCACCTGGCTGGAGTCCTTCCCTTCAATTGGTTTGCATGGGAGGAACTGGCTGTTGGCGAGGGCCTTGCAGGAGCCTGTATATTGCAAGCAAAAAACAAAAAAAACCCAACAAACCAGACAAACAAAATGTGAATATAATGTTTGTTTTAATAAAAATATAATAACCAACTG